CTTTCCCTCTGTTCAGGAACTGTACTCTACTATGGAATGTCTAGAAAATATCTTCACAAAGGCCTATCAGCGTGATAGAGACGCTAATGGTGTGTCGAGTACCCACAACACGGTGCTTCACATCAGTGCCCTCTTAGCATGGACACTGTTGTTGACAATTTGTCCAATGAATGAAGTGAAGAAGAAAATTGAAATGTGAGTATCTTTCTTAGAAAACAAAATTTGTCATGGCTGTTTTTGATAGGCGGTGAACACGTCAATAAAATTGACCTCTGGATGCAATGTGACTTCCTCCTTAGGCACTTGCATAAACTTCCAAACCTGCTGTCTTGTGATGATCTCAACATGAGAATAGCTGCTGGAGAAACACTAGCCCTTCTGTTTGAGCTGGCACGCGAAACAGATGCCGTAAGTAGATGTCAGCAGCTAAATTGTGTTGCGCTGGGATGATGACATGGCAAGTTCTTTAACCTGTGTTCCGCAGCACCCCAGATCTCAACAACTGGCACTTAATTCACTGGGTTATGGTTTTTTGTAGTGAGTCTTTCCTCATCAAAGTGAGTACAGCAGGGATTCACAGCAATTTAGCTATCGCTTTGACATTAATTTCCATATTGCAAAACAGGACCCATATAATAAAACACATCAGGCGGTACAGAATGGAAACTAGAAACGTGTGGTGTGCAAGCTTTAAAATCTAAATCTGATACCAGATTTAAAAAAAATTAAATCTAAAATCCCCCCGAGAGATTCCAGGATAAAACAGTCTTGTTTGCTGTAGTGGGAAGGGAACACGCATTATATACTTAACGCAGACAAGTTCCAGTGATTCACAACCTGCACAATTCTGCTGTGGCAGCTAAAAATCCATCCTTAGTAGAAACCATGTCAGCTTGTAGTGTTGTTTTTTTTCAGTATCCCTATTTAGGTACCCTGAGAAGAATAACTGCTATTGCAGGATGGTTTCACAGCATTTGTGACTGTTTCAGTTGGGGACTAGTCAGTCAATTTAAGGGGAAAGATTTTGAAAGGATTTGTAAAAATTTTGCAGGTATATCAGTGTTGCTGCATTTGGTGAGATTTCTTGGGGTTTGCTGTTGAGTTGGGCTAGGTGCAGGCTTCTCGGTATTACCTCATACACAGCTAAACTTGCCTTCGCATTCTTCAAGATGCCTTGATTGATTTCTGAACTGTTTTCTTGGCAGCACTGAAGGAAACGGTCTCCACGTAGCCACGGCACGCTTTAGGAGAGCTGCCTGAGTGGCTCCTAGCTCGATCAAGGCCATCAGAAGGCTGTCCAGAGTGAAAAGATTTACTCCAGTTGAGTCAGGAAACAGACCGCACTGATGCTGCCTAATCTGAAACAGTATGCCGAGGCTTCTGTAGAATTGCAGGCAGTAGGGATTGGAGTCTTGGCTATGGAAGCCAACTTGAAAGGTGGAAAAAGAAGACAGACCTGAACTTGATCCTTTATTTGGTCAAACTGACTGCAAGTAACTCAAATGTTAAAATGCATTTATGAATGAGACTATATTTGCTAAAAACTTCCATTCCATTGAGGAAATTCGCTTTAATCATTAGAAATTATTCTCTTTGAATCCTTAACAATCAGCACAGCTTGAAAATGCTGTGTTTTGCCTTTGACCAGTTTTTGTCGAAAAGCATGTAGTAAGTCAGCCTGGTCAGTTGACATGACAAAACATTCAGATTGGAAAAAAAAAAAATCACTAAGTTATTCTTACATAAATTTACATACATAATAGTGGAGCTAAACTACTGCCGAATTAATAAATGGAGGGGAAAAAATACTTCTTGCATTACAGTTTACTTGGTGTGTTTTGTTAAGCAGTTTTTCAAAGCTGGGCTCTTAATTTTCTGCCCCATACAAGACTTACAACTAAATATTCTGTACTGCCAGTCTGATGGTGTCTCATGATGCATCTCCAGCAGCACGAATTCTGTGCTAGTAACCAGAAAGTGCCCTCAGCTTGTCGACAGGAGCGGCAGCCGGGTTCAGCCGATCAGTTAGGCAGTTTGAGTCCCTCAGAATTACGGAGCGAGGCAGATTGACAGGTACATGCACACACTGAAGGAGCTGTACTGTTTCATGTGGCTCTTGACTAGCAGAATAGTTTGATAGTGTCCTGCTTGGGGAAGCTGGGTGCTGTGACTGTGCTCTTACTGGCTTGAATGCTGCAAATGGAACTAGAGGAAGTTAGTGCCATGTCTGTATCTTTAAATAACAGAGTAACAGGTTCTGAAGGTCTGCACGCCCAGAATTTGGACAGGGAAAGATGTTAAGGCCAGGGGAAAAAAATCCAGGGAAAAACCCCATTTTTTCTTTTTTTGGACTAGGACTTCTTTTATGAAGATATGGAACTTCTAACAGAGAAGCTGAGGGCTCTGGCTACTGATGGAAACAAGCACCGAGCCAAAGTAGATAAAAGGAAGCAGCGGTCCGTCTTCAGAGACGTTCTACGAGCTGTTGAGGTGATTCTTTTGTCTTACTTTTAGTGTCTGGATTGTAACTATGTAGTGTACAATTTAATGAAAATGGTTTTATTACTGAATAGAACTACTGGTTCAGTGAAAGCAACAGGAAAAATTTATTTTAAATGAGATTTCAAGTTCTGATTACTTAGGCGAAATGTAACTGCTTTTTTAGGAATGGTGAACGAAGTCAAACTTTGTTTTGCTCCAAACTTGGCTTCTCTATTGAAGAGTATTTCATTTTTTTTCTTTAAAGAAGGCTAAACATTGCACTGTAAATACTAAATTCTTTTTACTTTATACTATGAGCAGATACTTTTCATAGAAGACTCTGTAGGACATGCAGATTAGTTTCCTGAAAAGGTTTATTACTTCTCTTACTGAACTGCTGTGCATAGTAATTAAGCAGTTTAGTGAGCAGTAAGACACACTGCCGAATGGCACCTCTGTCAGGGGCCAAAAAGCAGTTGTGTGTGGAGGGAGGTAGTTGTACAAATTGTGGTGCAAACTTCTAGTTTTCTGTATTCAGATTAAGAGAACAGCGTCACTTTTAATGGATTACTTGTTATCTTACACACCTCAAACTAGATCTTCTACTTGTCAGTTTTCCATTGCTGTATGGCTAAGACCAACTAAATGTTAGTTGACATTCAGAAGAGTTAAACATCTTGGAAGTTAAGGAGAAGGCATTCAAGTGATTTGAAGTCACCTTTGAGATTCTGCCTATAGAAGAAGCTGAGTCACTTGCACCTGTTACATGCCATTGTCACAAATGTAGCTGCCCACACTTGAAAGGTGGGGATTAAATGAGGCTTGCAAACTGATGTACAGGTGACTCCTGCACTCTGAACTGGTTTTTCTGGAGAGAAGTCCAATTGTTAAATATTAAAGTTAAAGGTTCTTTCTTTTTCTTTAATGCTTTCTGGCTTAAAGAATGTCAGCCTCAAGTCTTACATGAGATTTAACTTGGTGTGCATCAGCTTGTGAACAAATACAATCTTTAGTATATGTGTACTATAATCTTTGGAAGGTTTTGCTGTGCAAAATTTATTAGTGAAAATAAAGTTTGAGAGATACACAGTTCTAAACCAAAAAAAAAACCCCAACCAAAAACATGTTTAAAATTATGCATGTTGCTTCCTTTAATTTTGGACAGGAGCGTGACTTTCCTACGGAGATGGTCAAGTTTGGACCTGAGCGCATGTACATTGACTGCTGGGTTAAAAAACAAACTTACGACACCTTCAAGGAGATCCTGGGGTCGGGGATGCAGTATCATTTGCAGGTGAGCTGCTGTTTGATACATGCTCAGAGTGTTGTTCCCTGTCTGGCATCTTTGTAGTAGTTCATCCCGAATCACAGTTGCGAGTAGAACTCGGAGAAGGGATGGGCTTGGCATGAGACGTGTTAAAAGACAGCGCTTCCAGACTGAGCTGCAGTAGGCGAGATCTGTCTTGGAGAGCAGCTTCTGAGCTGTAGCCCGGGTGTGCTGGGTTAGCAATTAGAAGACTTCTGCAGGAAGTAAGAGATTCAAGCTGGATATCTTCTTAGCTTCGGGGTTTTTCTCGAATCCTTATGCACAGCAGGGTGGTGTAGCCACCTGGCTGTTGTAAAGCTGTATGTCTCCACCCTTCCTGTTAAAGCCTGGAAAAAGGAATGCAAAGTTCTAGTCAAAAATAATGCAGCTTGCAGCGCAACAATGACAACATTCCAGAAGGGGAGGGAATAAGTCCTTATCCCTGTTCTAGGGGCTGCTGGTTCACTAGTCATCCCTTCAGATACGTAGCAGGAACTATAGCTGCAGGAGCATGTGCTCCCAAATGCTTACGATAATCATGGGGTTAAAATCCTCAGGCCGGTGTTGGTTGCATTTCTGCGTGACTGAGAGAGCCCAGGCACGTAGCAGCTTTTTCAAATGCTACTTTTACAGCCAGATACTATAAAACTGGTGTGTTGTGAAACCGCACGGACCTGTGTCCAGCTGCCTCATCTTGTGTAGAGGATTTAGCAGAACAGTGTCTGATTTGCTGGGACAAAAAAGTCGGTGGGGAGGAAAGCTATCTGCCCTCTGAGGAGGGCAGCTTTAGTTCGGCGCTGTACTCTGATTAAAGAAAGGAGGGTTCCCTGGCTTCATTGCAAAAAGATACTAAGATTTGTGTGAAATTGCTCCTTCTTCTGGCATACTTGATATTTAGCAGTAGTCATATTTGGAAACTTGATAATCAGAGGAGAAACTGATCATTTGATGTGTTTCTTGTTTAGTCGAATGACTTCCTTCGGAATGTGTTTGAGCTCGGTCCACCAGTGATGCTGGATGCTGCAGCTCTGAAAACAATGAAGATATCCCGTTTTGAAAGGGTAGGTTATGGCATCTTGCTGTGTTTCCTTCATACGCCCATTTTATTTCTCCTGCATTCAATGGCATGGAAACGGGCACTTTAGAAGCTGTCAGCTTTAAACCTGTCACTTTAGTTCTAACAGTGCCCCATATTGTCCTGGGTGAAACCAAACCTTGCTTGTATCCACCTCCGAGCTCTTCATTTAGGTTTTCCACTGTGTCTTCTACTGCTTTTGACGGTTGACTTGGTTGCTAATTGGTACCGGATTGATGATCATACATGTGAAAATAGGGCGCTCGAGAGCCATAGGTTTTTTGGTTAGGGACCTACAGGAAACCATGGAAACAGTCTTTGTGGAGAGAGTATCCCCAGATCTCCAGTGTGGAGCAGACAGTGAGAGGGTGACTTTGTTCTGTTGGTTGTCAATGTACTCGCCACATGGGGTGGTGCTACCCAGTCTGACGTGGGGGGCAAACGTGTTCTACCTTGTGTGCGCTTCCAGAATTGCTCCTGGCTTAGCCTTTCTTGCACTGTCCAAGTTTGTTTTCAGTGTGAATGTACGAGCATGAGTCAGCCTTTGGTGCAGGGATTACACTGTAAATTTCAGAAGGCCTACCAATTTACTTAAACTTTAAGATGGTATTTTCAGCTGTTCCTTAACACTAAAAGGTTTATATCCTTCAGAGTTCTTTTTTTAACAACTGTGATTAATTTTTCCTTTTATTTTGTAGCACTTGTACAACTCTGCAGCATTCAAGGCTCGGACGAAGGCTAGAAGTAAATGTCGTGATAAAAGAGCAGACGTGGGGGAGTTTTTCTAGATCCCCTTTTCCACAGGATTCAATTTTCATAATTAAAATAGATTTGTCACCTTTAAATGACTTTTTTTTTTAAATGTCTGTTGTCAGTTTGCACTTGTGCACAGGGATATTGTGTAAAGTCTGTAAATACCATGCACGCTGTTGCTTCATTGTGTATATAGGCTGATGTGAGGGGGTGCTGGGACAGGTGGTAATGCCTGTGGTAGGTCGGGCTTGCTCCAGACGAACGCCTTCTAACCCAACTGTTCTGTGGGGTGGGTGACTACTCAGAGGCTGTGCGTTGTGTTGGATTTCTTACTTTGTATAAAGGTAAATCGAATTAACTAACTGACCATGTGTTTTGGTAAGAATGTGCTCATATGAAAAGATTTGTGTGATGTTATTTTAGTAACTTTTTAAACTCTTCAGTGGCCGGATGACTTTATCCTGAAAAGGGTTATGAAGTTGTTACCTTCACTTACAGTGAAATAGTGAATGACAAATACTTGCCTCAGTGTAAAATAAAACCAAAATTCTCACATCCTGAAATCGGATGCTTAATTTTTGGAATAAAGATGTTTCTCACTGCTTGCTTTCTGTGTAAAAGTGATTCCTGCCTGAACGAAAAGCTGGAACATAGAACCTAAAGTCTGAAACAGATGGGTTTGTTTATTTGCCTGTTGAGACGGGAGTTGGGTTAGTCTCAGTGCTTCAGTGGATGCTCCGTGAACCTCCCTCGCTGTGTTTTGGAGGTATGTCTTATCTGCAGGTGCTCGGCACAACACCCTGCTGTAGATTGGCCACCCACCGCTTCTGTAATAGTCAGGTGCCTCCTAGTTCTGGCCTGGCAAAACACCTAATCCCTTATCTTGCAGGAGCCATTCCAGCTGCCCTGGTTTTGGCATGTGGAAAACTATGCTGCCCTCGGTTTCTGGCTCTAGAGGGCTGAAATGTGCTGGTAGCTGAGAGCTAACTGTCTTAGGGATGATGGGAGGTTTATGTAATACAGACACTAAAACCCCAGTAGCTGGAGTTTCTGAACTGCAAGATGTAGAAATAAAAGTGTTTGTTAGAAAAAAACATTCTTAAAAGTGCAGGACAAGTTATCAGTGGAGGAAGCAAACCTTACACTACCACACCCCCTGAAAACTCCTGCTTGCTCTGATAAGGGAAAGTTTGGTTTGTGGGTTTTTTTTATCAGTTTCAGATTATAGCAGAGCCTGTTCCAGAAAATCCATACATGGCAGTTAGTTTACTGCTACTACTTTTAATTTTTTTCTTTTTCCCCTCAAATAACAGATCATGTAAGAATTTGTTTGGCTTATGAAACTGGCTACATAGCCTTCAACTGCCGTCTGGGCTATTACTGGTGTGCGTCATCCGTGTTTGTCACGCAAGCGGGGAAGAAACTTCCCTGATCCTCAAAGCAGATGGGGGTGCCTACCTGTGCTTGCCCAGCCCAAGATGTTGCCTCCTTTGACCTGAACTTCCCACAGGCCTGCTGCTTTCTCCCATGGCTTCTGGGTAGCCACCTTTGGACATGCTTTGCTGGTGTAAAATAGCACTTCTGATCGCTTCCTGTCCTGCCAGTATTTTGCAAAATGGCTTTCTACAGCACCTCCTGGCTGGTGGCCCAGCATGCGGGTGCCTTTACACTGCAGCTGCTGACCACAGAGGCCAGGATGGCTTCCAAGGCTGTTTGAGGGGAGAAGGGCTGTTCGGCTGCCCTACAGAGATCTGGTGTTCGTGGACCTCTTTGGGCTTAGAAATGTCTTCCAATTAGAATGGTGCCAGGAATCACAGGGATGGACGTGAGATTCTTCTGGCTCGCACATCCTTGTTTGGAGGGAGGACTTCTAGGAGACCCCTGCAGAAAGGGAGCAATCTTGTTATGTCTGTGTTACAGGCCCAGCTATTCGGACTGGGCAGCAGCAAAGCTTGTCGGCTTGGGTTGGGGAACTAGGAGTCAGATGATCATCAGAGAAACCTAAAATGGTTTGGGTCTTAAAGACCATCTAGTTCCAACCCCCCTGCCATGGGCAGGGACACCTTCCACTAGACCAGGTTGCTCAAAGCCTCATCCAGCCTGGCCTTGAACACTCCTAGGGATGGGGTATCCACATCTCTGGGCAACCTGTTCCAGTGCCTCACCACCCTCTCCGTGAAGAACTTCTTCCTGATATCTAATCTAAACCTCCCCACTTTCAATTTAAACCCATTCCCCCTTGTCCTGTCACTATAGGCCCTTGTAAAAAGTCCCCCCCAGCTTCCTTGTAGGCCCCTTCAGGTGCTATGAAATCTCCCCAGAGCCTCCTCCAGGTTGAACAACCCCAAATCTCAGCCTGTCCTCTGATGTATCTTCTCTGGTGTTTCCTGAAAGGAAAATACATTTACTGTCAGTTAAAGGCGTTCAGAATTTTGGTGCATAGAATGGCTTCATTCTATGGCCTTGTGGAGGGCCACGAAGATGCTCAGAGGGCTGGAGCCCTTCTGCTGTGGGGACAGGCTGAGGGAGTTGGGCTTGTTCAGCCTGGAGAAGAGAAGGCTCTGGGGAGACCTTATTGCAGCCTTTCAGTACCTGAAGGGGCTACAAGGAAGCTGAGGGGGACTTTTTACAAGGGCCTGTAGTCACAGGTCAAGGGATAACGGGTTTAAATTGAAAGTGGGGAGGTTTAGATTAGATATCAGGAAGTTCTTCTCGGAGAGGGTGGTGAAACACTGGAACAGGGTGCCCAGAGAAGCTGTGGATGCCCCATCCCTGGATGGCTTCAAGGCCAGGCTGGATGAGGCTTTGCGCAACCTGGTCTAGTGCAAGGTGTCCCTGCCCATGGCAGGGGGGGTGGGACTAGATGGTCTTTAAGGTCCCTTCCCACCCAAACCATTCCATGATTCTGTGATTAAGAAAGGGTTTGCTGTTTGGAGCCACGGATGGCTGCCTGTCATCACAGTGGGCTGTAACGTTACATTCTGCAACGTTGGCAAGGAAAAGCGTGATCAGAAGAATTACCTACAATGGAGAAATTACCAGTAGCCAGCATTTATATTTTAATCAACTAAGGATGATGGACAAATTAGTCCATTCCATAGTACTGTCCCACTTGCATTTGTAAGGTGTGTGGGAGGAGGAAAATGCCCTGTCTTTTTCTAGTCTATGCCTTTAAAGTACTCAAGGCTGCAATACTACCGATATGACTCTTCTGCATAGCAAACTGGTTACTCATAGCTACAGTGTTGTAGACAGCACTCTTCTGCATAGCAGATGAGTTTTAAAAAGGCATCATAAACCGAAAGGTTAGTGAAATATTGATCATCAGTAACAATCCTCGTTCTCCATGATTCCAATAAAATAATAATTTTTGCAAAAGCTGTGTATGTGCTGATTTCTTTTTATACAGATCAGTATTGTGAAGTCAGTATGCTTAGCCAAGATGAACTCTAAATATAGATTGGAAGGGACAGTCTGTTTCACAGCTGCCTTCATGGGCCCTGCAGGAGTCGGCAGGTTCCTATGGGTCTGTAAGCAGAGAGGGGTTTTCTCCGTGTGATTTTCGCTGGCTGATTTCTTCCACACTGGCACACCACCTGAACGCGGTTATGTCGTGAGTAACACTTAACTCTCCTGGGTTTTAGTTCCTCTTAGAGTTGACTGTTCTCTTTTTTTTCTGTGAAGAATTTTCACTGTGTTCTCACACTACGTTCTAATTTTACCACAACAACTTAAGGAGAAATTTAAAAGTTGCATGGGGAAAACCACTTTTAAGCGAGGTTAAAGGACAATATAGAGTGACTCCAAAAACCCCAACGTTTAGATTAGGTTGTTGGGAAAATAATCAATACTTTTGGCCAGAGACACTGACGTCTGTATCCTCTCTCCCTTGTTTGGCGTGCCAATGGAATCAAAAATATGTAATGTAGAGTTTGCTGAATTATTAATAGCTATTTTCACTGTGGTTACATACACAGTGAGGACGTCGATTTTAAATGATTAATAATGAATGCAGAAACGTATCATTCATAACATTAATGAATCAAAGGCACTCACATTTATTACAGCTCAAGTTGTTGAGAAGAGTCTTCCCTGAAGTTGCAGGGAGGTACTAATCGAAATACGCACAAGAAGTAACTGCTCTTCAGGAGCTAAAAATAACCCAAAGCCTCTGTGCAGGAGGTGGTAACTTTTTGCTGTTAAAACACAAAGCTCTGTAACGATTGCAGTTGGCCACTGATGTGCTAGTGGGGAGATAGCACAGCCAGCGCTGGTGGGGACGTGGCTCACAGGCTGTGCTGCCCAGCACCACCCGACTTTCCAGGGGAAGGAAAGTGGACGCAGCCATCTGTCCTGAAATTACTGCTGCACACCTAAAAATTCTACGCTAGGTAAGGATAACCACTACTATGACAGCTTTTTTACCGTATTTTGCAGCAGCAATTCTGAACAGTGAAGAAATACGCTGTAATCTTTTCTTATACTCTATTAAATAGAAATATAAAAGTAATCATGTAGGCCTGTCAATCCCCACTATCAGGAGAACGAGCCCCATTGTCAGGAGTGGTTGGGACACTCAGACTTACTGAGCTTCCGTGGATCTTTGTTTGTCTGTGTGCTCAGATTTGGGCAAATTATGACAATATCTTCTGCATCTGGTTTGATGAGGCACAGAATGGGTCTTTTCTGTAAACACTCAGGCCTATATTCTTCCAACTTCAGGTTTTAAATGGTAGATTAGGGAGCCGGTCACACTGTATTCTCTGTTGCTTGGAGAGAGAGAGAGGGAAAAGCATGTCAAGAAGGCAGTTCAACATATCCAGGATTCAGAAATCACCCTTAGGTGCTTACTGTTCTCTTATCAACAGGAAATTTTCCCCCTATGAAGCTCTGAGTTACGTTTGGCAGGTAAAATCAAACTGGAGAGCTTTGATAACATACTAAATGGGTAAGATGTATTCAACGCCAAGTCTAAACTAATCTCTGTGACCTCCCCTCTTACCTTCCTTATCAAGGGAAAGGCACTTTAGACTGTAGTTGTAAGGTCAGAAAGACCTTTCTTAGAATAAGAGGAATATTACCTGGAGATAAGTATTTTGCTGCAATAATTACAGAGGGAGTTTTCAGCGACCAGTGTAGTCTTAAGATGCCTATTTAGAGCAGCTGCACCTCTGTATGGCTAGAAATGTAGTTTGTTTCTGGAAGACATTTTTGGAATCAGAGTAGTATGAGGAAAATGAAAAGGCTGTTAAAGAATAATGTGCAATTCATAGAGCAGCCTGCTTAGGTATTGCTTCTTTTTTATATATAACATTCCTTCATAACTATTTATATAAACAGTCATTCAATGAGTTCTTGCACCTAGACTCCACAGAGAAGCTGGTTTTGCTGATTGGGCCTCACTGCTTTTTTTAAGGCAAGGAGTATTAGTCTGAAGAAAAAGGCTTTGCCATCAGGCCGTAGTTTGTCCAAAACTAGTGTCTATGTGAAGGAGGACTGCATTAGAAGACCATTTTTTTTCTCCATTTTTCACAAATGATAACTTCACACTGATTTTTCAAGGTGCATAAGCAGACCCATATTCTCGCTGCTTATCTCCTATCTCCACACCTGCTTTGTGTGTCTTATCTCTGAATTAATTATTTGATGCTGAAAGCAGAGGACCTGAGTGACATCCTTCCTCGTGTTAGTGAAGGGTTGACTTTCACTGTGGTCAGGATATCAATCACCCTTCATCTCACCAAGTACCCACCAAATCAAAAGGGTTATATGACTAAATAACTAACATTCAAAGCGATGCTGGAGTCTAATAGATTTTCTCCTTCTCTGTTTCTCCACGTATACACATATATATATACGCATACACATGTGTAAGTATAAGTAAACATACACATATGTAGGTATTAATACGCATGCTCAAGCACAATGTAGGAGTGAAATTTTGTACTCAACAAAGATTTTAAAGAATAAACAAGTACTGTGCCTTGCCTTCAAGACCTAGTAAGTGCACTAGTCCTTCAAATCCCTTTATTTTAAGGGCTGTTAAAGCTGCTCAGCATTTTCTTATATCATGAAACCGTTGCCAGTTATTTTGCTTAACCATGTTTTAATATACCATTTTAATTATTACTTCATTTAGACACAATGGAGAGGCCTTCCTTGGAAATTAACCTGCCTGATGCTCATGAAGAAGGAAAACTGTATGTAGTTGATTCCTTAAACAACCTAAACAAACTAAATGTTTGTCCAGATGAATCCCAACATGTGCTAGGTACGTATGAGAGATAATGCTTTGTGATTTTCTATACATACAACTGGCTGTCAGTGTATGAGTTATGTATGACATTTGTAAAGACTGACTACCCTGTGTTGCACTGATGTCAACAGCCCAAGAGGCCAATATGTGTATGTCAAGCCTTATACTGGAAAATATAAGAAAAAGATTTAAAGTGGCATAATTTAGACAGATCAGATTTACGCTTTAGCTACTCCTGCTGAGTATTCCAGGTATTAGGTTCTTAAAAATCCCTGAATTTGGCTAGGGATTCACTGTCAAATCTGAACGTATCTTCCATTTCCATTGGGACCCATGAGGTGATCCCTTGCAGAGTAATTTCTTTAGTAATGCTCAATATATACCTACTACCTGAACAGCATTGTAACTCTTCACAAGCACTAAAATTCACATGTGGCAATACAACACCTGAGAATTTCATAGAATCACAGAATGGTTTGGGTTGGAAGGGACCTTAAAGACCATCTAGTTCCAACCCCCCTGCCATGGGCAGGGACACCTTCCACTAGACCAGGTTGCTCAAAGCCACATCCAGCCTGGCCTTGAACACTTCCAGGGATGGGGCATCCACAGCTTCTCTGGGCAACCTGTGCCAGTGCCTCACCACCCTCTCCGGGAAGAACTTCTTCCTGATATCTAATCTAAGTCTCCCCACTTTCAATTTTAACCTGTTACCCCTTGTCCTGTCACGACAGGCCCTTGTAAAAAGTCCCCCTCAGCTTCCTTGTAGGCCCCTTCAGGTACTGGAAGGCTGCAGTAAGGACTCCCCGGAGCCTTCTCTTCTCCAGGCTGAACAAACCCAACTCTCTCAGCCTGTCCCCATAGCAGAGGTGCTCCAGCCCTCTGAGCATCTTCGTGGCCTCCTCTGGAGTCGCTCCAACTGGTCTATATCCTTCTGATGTTGAGGGCTCCACAGCTGGGTGCAGTACTCCAGGTGGGGTCTCAGGAGCGCAGAGTAGAGGGGCAGAATCCTCTCCCTCGACCTGCTGGCCACACTTCTGATGCAGCCCAGGATACGGTTGGCTTTCTGGGCTGCCAGCGCCCACTGCCGGCTCATATTCAGCTTTTCATCTACCAGTACCCTTTCTTTGATAATTTTCATTGGACAGTATTGTTTACTTTTCAGGTAAATACACAGGGTTCTGTGGAATCATATAGGGTGCTGTGGAATAATCACACCCATGCTTCTCCCTACGTTTCTTTAGTAAATAAATGTAACCTAAGATATACTTTACACATTGATTTGTAAAGTGCTTTGTCTCCTTCTAGGATTTAAAAAAAACTTGCAGATTATCTAGAGATCTTATCCCATCAGTTAAATACAAAAAATGAATTTTTCACCGTCCTTCTGCCCTATTCAGCAGTATAAAATTCTAGTTCTTTTGCCAGAAAATTAGTGAGATCTGTGGAGTATTTTTGAAATTTTGATAAATATTAAATTCTCATGAATGATCTATTAATAGCATAGCAGATGCCCTATTTGGTTTAAAAAATGATGTTTCAAGGGTGTTGCAGTACACAGCAATCCTTTTGTTCAGTAGCTTAATATAACCTGGCATAATCAAACACACTAGCAACCCTGTTGAAAGCTATTTAAAATGCATATACCTTTTGATTGCTTTGGTACCAGCCACGCAGCGATTTCTTTATGTTTTGGATGATAAAATGGTCCCACTGTTTGCAGTTTGGCAGGAGTGTGAGTTCACTGGTTCCTCACAACACTGCAGTCTGGCATGCTCAGGCAGCTGTAATAGTAAGAAGCATTCTTGAGGCAGAGCAAGCACAGACCACTTTTGAGACCTCCACTGGTAGCTTAGTATGCTTTACAGACAGCAGTAGCAGAGCCTCCCCCCCTTCCTCTTCTGATTAGAAAGCAGTATTGGTGCACTCAGTACATGATGCACTTGGTATGAATGCTAAAGAAAAAAACATAAACCCCCCCAAACTCAAATATTAAAAGGCTTCAGCTTACCTGCAGGCAGGAGCATGTTAAATGCAATAAAGACTAGCAGAGATATTCTCAGAGATCTCCTGCTAGCTCAGTGAACTGCTCAGCCCCAGGTTGGTTCATTATTAAAGTGCTGTAATGGCATGTGCAGCCTTCCCTCACTTTTACAACTACAGGCTCAGTTGCAAAGACCTCAGAGATTTCTACCAGCTAAAACAAGAACATGGTCTAGAAATATATTTTTCACAGATGCACACGCTACTCTCCCTTTCAGAATGGCAGGACAGCAATTACAGGAGGAGAAATTACAGTAATTTGCACATAATTTTAGTATGTATGACTGACACCAAAATGAAATTACATTAGCTGCCTTCTCCCCCAAAACCATAAAATAAAACCAAACCGTAGTAAGTTATTGAAGTAGTATACAAATTTGGGATTAAACAAATCTGGCTCAGGTATGAATTATTCTAATATTCACATTAATTTCCTCATGGTGTTCACTTGACTTTACCTGTTATCTTTAGGGCCACCCCTCACTTGATTGTAACTGTTTCTAGGAGAGAAAGTACTGACTTTCCCTGTATGAAACAGGTTCTTTAAAAAGCATTAAACTGGCTTGCAACTCTGATTTGAGGGCAGCATAAACAAGTGCTTGTTCTTTTTTCCCCTCATTCTTCATGAGCTCAAAGGACAATGTATGTAGTCCATGTGAGAGTCTGTTCCACTTGTAACAATTTGGGAGGATATGAATCTCTTTTTTTATTGGAATGAAACCAACAAAACCTAATAAAGAAGAACAACATTAAACCATTTATTTTAAGATAGAAAGTCAAGACCTATACTCATTCTATCCAACATCAGGAGCTTAACTGAGGTGTTTAATTTGGGAAATTAATCATCCCAGGGGTACTTCTATCATCAAACAGAAAAAAAGAAGCAAATCTAGAGGATGAACGTGCAGAAGGAACCTGTACCTATGTTGTCAATACGAATTTTTCTCTCTTCTCTTTTGAAAAGGTTGAGTCCGTTAAGGTCCTTAGAAAGCCTTCAGCTGAAAATTTCATTGCAACCTTTGTATGTGTAAAACTGAGCTGTAAAACCCTGAACTCTAAACCAGGTCAGCTTCAACAAAACAGTGTATTGTAAAAACAGGACCATTTTTGTTGAGTATGTTCCATCAGCTTCAACACCTATATTCGGTTTTATACTTCCAAATTCAAGCTGAGCCCATAAAGTTGGTTTCTTCCCTTCTCATCCAATATCCCAGGAAATAAAATCTGTTGGCCAAAATTGTGACGTATTCTGTATTATTGCATGGAGCCAAAAGCATTTTGTCATGTTTATCCTAACCAATCTTAACAAACTTTATTACCAAATGGTTTGTCATCTCATAACAGATGAGGAAGAGAACACTGGCAGTACTGGAGAAAACACATCAGGGAGCAACATAAGGAACCACTGTTTGTTCTTCGTCGTCTTTATTCTTACTTTGATCGTCAGTTTGGCACTTGTTTCATTTGTAATATTCTTAATAAGTAAGTAAACCGAACAGTGGTTCTTAAAAATGTAGGGCCAATTGGAAGGACAACTTTGTTGATATGTGTCATGCTGCCTAATAACATGCTCCTGCTTTATTTGCGTGGTCAGAGACTTTGGCGGGTTAAGGGCAGCAGGTCTTGGTCCTGGGTGCAAAAGCACAGGCCTCTACTCTGAGCTAAAAGACACAATTTTGTTCTTAATGCAAAGGTTTTGTGAGCTTCAACCACTGTGAAGAATTTAGTTTAGCAGGGTTATACTGTGTTGCTAAAAATGGCTGAAAATGAAATTAAACTTTCAAGATGACAGTATGGCAGTAAGATGCTTTGACAATGTGCCTTCCAGTCCTTTTTCCAGATAAAACTCAGTATCGGTGTCATTCCACTGAAACTGGCATTACACCCAGGCTAACGCTTAAATCAGGCTACCTGAAATTAAGACTTGAAGGTTGCCAGCTAAGTACTGACTGGAAATTGGTTTAGAACTAGGGAAATCTTAAACCTAAGAAACAAAAAATCAGATAAGATATATCAGAATTGGCACATCATAGCATTGAGTCTGTAGATGTAATTCCTGTTCCTCTTCAGCTGGACTAGTCGAGCTGGCTTAACTAAACCCGTGGCTACAGGCGACCATGGTGTATGTAGCCCTTGCCATCTTGGGGTTTTCTGGGCTAATGGTATTGAATAGAGTACAAGGTGGATTATTTAAACTTACAAGTCCATTTTAACTTAATTGGAATCCATGTGAAATCAAGATTTCTTCTATCCTATAACAGGGCTTTCGCTACAGCAGAGCAAAAATCCTCATTTTCCTTTTTGGGCAGGAAATCCTAACCCTTGACTGAATTTGCTGAAAAGCACCCAAAGAACAGAATATCAGACAAGCAAAGAGCACAAAAGAAATTTTAAGTGGCATGATTGCAAAACCCTAATTAAAATATCTCATACTTTAATTCCAGATTTATTTAATGGGGAGCTTTTAAAAGTAGAGCTCTGGTATAGAAAAATGAGTAATGTGACACTCTAGTGGAAAAATGGTAAAGGGAAAAGGCTACTTACAGGGATTAAAGAAATTACTTGGGCTCAGATTGATGGAGGCCTGTGGTTTTTGAAACTGATTTCCAGCAGTGTTTCAAATACACTGCAAACATAACCTCAGATTCTGTTTGCAATCCACGCACATAGGTTTGTTTAGCGTTGGCACTATTAGACTTAAGATTCAAAACCCATGGGTAAATATTGTTAACTTCAGAAGGCCAAAATAAAAATAACTCCAGAAATGCATGATGGATACTGCATATTGGTGTTCCAGAGGAAACTGGCCTCTAAATGCCAATATTTGCAAGAATTTTCCTTTAATCTAATCTTAAATGCCTTAGGAAACCAAGTGATGTGGCTGTAATTTGCTGTGAGTTTTAGTAATTGCACTTTTAGAAAAATACAGGCTCATATTGCCCAGAAATAGCATCTTGGAGTTCCTAAATAAGACATTTTCCTGTGGACACTAGTGGAATGGATACAGTCCTGAAGGCTACAAAATTTGTCTGAGCCCTGTTTGATTTTATTACATGTCACTAATCTGAACAAAACAGAAAATAAGCAATTAAACAATGTAGTGAACAGGTCAATCCACCAGATGCATAACTTCTTATCATTAGGTACTGCAGTTTTCCTGTTTCATATTTTTACTCACCATAATTCCCTACAAACTCCGTCAGGAATGCAGGAGAGGGTAGTAATGCTCTTGACTTAAATGTTGCCAATTTAATGCGGTACATTTTCCTTTTCAAGTTCAAACTAGAAACAAGATGGACCAAATATCAAGCAGACTAATATCAGAAAAGAAGAACATAGAAGAGCTTAAGAAAATGAACAATATGATATTAAAACATCTAAATCGATCAGGAACTAAGGAAAAGGGGAGACACCTCTTCACACAGACTCCTGATCTTCATGATTACCTCTTCACTCATGCTGAGCTGAATGTCCCTGGAGAATAGACCTTCTTTGGAATGAAATTCAGCGTATTCGCATACTCAGATATTTTCACATATGGCACACAGGTTACTTAAACATTCTGATATGGTCACAGGAGGATTGGAAAAGGCATATGAATGAAAAGCATTAGTAAATAATAATTTATCTTGGTTTATGTGAATATAGATTTTGATAACTAAGCCCATATGATTTACAATAGATAATAGATTTAACAATTTTGGGCAAGAGTTCCAGATTCTCTGTGCATTGCAAATTGCGGAGTTAAGGGCTTAGTTTTACTTCAAATGTTAGTGAATGATCATAGAAAACAGCGATTTCTATCCAGATGATTCCAGCATGACCTTGTTCACTTAGTAATTTTCCTGTTTCTTTGGAAGGAGTTTTGTGTTTGCTTCTATATTATTTATATTTAATGATAATTTCAGATTCCATAACTTAGAAATAAATCCAGTTCTGCCACAGAGTTTGGTGGTTTGCCTTTCTGTGCATCTAAATAGATTGACTTATTACGCCTTTTGTGAAAAAAACAAACTTGAATAAATCCTTTCATGACAAGCTATACTCAGCCCAAATTGGTATTGAGTGAAAGTGGGTGTCATATCTTATTACATGGGAAATAGGTTTAGAGAACTCTGGTAATACCCTTCTCATAGCAATGCTAGTACGCTGTACTCAGTATTTGCTCACGGTTTCTGGGGGAAGGCCAGGGTTTTTATAAAGTGATGTGAGGAGCGGCTGAGGGAACTGGGGTTGTTTAGCCTGGAGGAGGCTCAGGGGAGACCTGATCGCTCTCTACAACTACCTGAAAGGAGTTTGTAGCAAGGTGGCTGCTGGTCTCTTCTCCCAAATGACAAGTGATGAGAGTAAATGGCCTCAAGTTGCACCAGAGGAAGTTTAGATTTGATATTAGGAAAAATGTCTTCACTGAAAGGGCTGTCAGGCATTGGAACGGGCTGCCCAGGGAGGTGCTTGAGTCACCACCCCTGGAGGTATTTGCAATATGTGGACAAGGTGCTTAGGGACATGGTTTAGTGGTGGTATTAGCAGTGTTAGGTTAACAGTTGGACTTGATGATCTTCAAGGTCTTTTCCAACCTAAAAGACACTATGATTCTATGAAAATATCACATGTTCTTGTACTCTTCCCTATAGATGCTGTTGGCCCCTACTGGGGAAGGACCACAGGGCCAGGTAGAAATCTGGTCTGATCCTTCCTGTTGTTAAAATGGAACAGCACTTCAGAGAGTGAAAACATGAGCCAGCACTTTCTCGTTTTGACTTTACACATTTTTGGAGATCGACACCCAAAGGTGCGATCACACAGGGACTGGTGGGTACTTTTTTCATTATAGTATTCAGATTCTTCTACTGAGATGTACATAAAGAAGCCACTTCCATTACTGATAAACAAATTGGTTACTTACATCACAACAGTGCAATGGCAGCTGACACTATGACATATGTCCAGTATCTTCTCTTTTACTGCAAGATTTCTTCTTTTTCATCCACTGCTTTCTTATGTCTTCTGGACAATTTTACACAAAGGTCACCGAACTCGACAACTTGCACTGCATCCTCCTCTTCCAGAACAAATAACAGTCTTTCTGGGATTGTCTACAGCACAGTGAAGAACTAGTTCCAGGAATCTTTCTTGGTATTGGATTTGTCCACCAGTTCTATCCCTCCTATTAGGAGTGCTTTGTTTTGCACCTGTGTTTTACGTCACCTGCTTTCTATTTCTTGATATTTCTTTTCTTGATGTATTACTGTCGAGTCATTCACATGACAACTGTGAGGTTTGGTCTTACTCTGGCTGTTAATACCCATCTGGAGTTGTAATTATCTCCTGTGGACATCACAAGCAGTTGTAACAAACATGAATTTAATATAGCTAATAGAGAATGATAGAAGTCTAATAGAGAATGATAAAAGTAAATGTAGAACAAGTTGTAAGGAAAGAAATCCTAAAAGCCCCACCAGATATCTTTCTGTAAATGCTGTTAAACGATGAAAGGAAAAGTACTCTAAGACTAGAAACATGACACTCGCAGTGTTGTTTCCCTGTTCCTCTCTAAGCTGTCAACTGCTTTTAATGACAGTATTATGTTCTCATCTCTCCCACTCATTTTGTAGCTACTGTAACTGTTTTCTGGCTCCTGTCTCGCACTGACACACATCCGTACTTGTTAGCCAGGGAGAAACAACTCTAGTATTTGGCGCGTGGTGCGTTTCAAGCACATGGAGCTGTCACATGTCTCATTGCAATTGCAGCTACGGGGGCAGTCTGTGGTCCACCAGAAACTGACACCAATACTCAATAGATTTTTTTTTGGCAGGACACTGTCAATAATGTCTGTGTTACAGCAACAGTCCCCAAAGAAATGACAGCTTCCTCATCTCTCTGATCTTGTCCTCAGTTACTCTTAATCTAGTTATTCAATCACTGCTCATAATAAATCCACTTTTTCTGCTTCTATTATCAATTAGAAGTGTTGTGTTTTAGGTATTTTTTCCACTCTGTGGTTTGATCCTGCAGGTTGCTGAGTGCCCTCAACTGCCACAGACTTAGGACCAGCTAGGGCATAACATGTGCAGGCTTGCTCAGTATCATGCAGGACTGAGCCCAAAGTCACCCTTTTCATACTGAATTTCTTCTTCACTTGCTGTGATCAGTGATTAAGATCCATGACTGAAAAAGTACAAAGGTCCAAGGAAATCTTTAGGCCTATCCTGTTAGCACTGCTGAAACACATCTGTTGTGGGACCGCTTGCGTGCAAGGCAGACATGAGGCAGTACTGCATACAGCTGATTAGGGCTTCTCAGCTGAAGTTACCAATATCCATTTACAGTCAGAACCGCTTCCATATGAGACCAGAGCAAGGGTTGAAAGGGCTGCTTTGGCAGCAGAGTGCCACAGCAACCCCACTGACGCTTTCTGGAGTACCCCTTGAAACAGAAACAACTAGCGACTCCTTCAGGGGAACATTTCTGTCTGATCTACCAACAGTGAAACAGTCCCGAACAAACCAATACTTGACTCTTAAAATCTTCTACAAACTTGACCCTGAATTGAATTTCAGCTCATCCTATACTTCCATAATCCTTACCTTGAATAAACAGCCAAGTGACTGGTAAACTCCAAGCTCCAACTGCATGTGGCATAACCACTGTGTTGTATATGGATGCTATAACATCTCCTGCAGACATGGGTAATGTCTCTATTCTTGTAGGGCTGCACATCTCAGGAGCCTTTGCAGTGTGCAGTATTACGACAAAGAACAGTAATAGCTTCATCTTACAGTAGTCACATTCGTTTTCATCCATAACACTGCTTCTTTCCTTTTTCTCTCTTATTCGCAGGCTATAGAGAGATATATCCAATGTAATTTGCTTTTCAGTATTTCTCTGAGTCCACTGTAAATGAAAACGACACACAAAGGGCTCAGATAGATTTAACAACATGCCATTGACGCTTATGTCTCTCAACACCTGCAACTACTATCATGACTGAAATGACAGCTTGGCTTCAGGAAATTTTCTGCTGGATAAATCTGGACAATACTAGAAAGATGCTGGTAAGCAAGAAGAATCACTTGGAAGATTTAACCAAGGAATTACCTTCAGCTTCCATCAAAGGCATCATGGTGCCAGTCCTTGATGTGTTGGCTGAATCTTTAGGTGTTTAGGTAATATCAGTAGACAAAATGCTTTCTTCCCCTGGTTATCTTGCTGAGAAATTCCTTCTTTTGTTCCAGATATCTACCAGTCTATGTTCTTGTTAAGTCCAACGCGTCAGACTGTATTTGACTATGTGAAACTACACCTGGAGAGATGACACAGTAATAAACAGCAGAGGGTCAGCTAGTGCAGGCATTTGCTTGTCTTCCTCAGGGTCATGCTACCACAAGAACATCAGCATGAATTTGGTCTTGCGCTCCTCTCAAAAGAAGCAGAGCTCAATATCTACAAGCAGCATGTAAGAACTGAGGACAAAACATTTTTTGTAGAGACCCACCTATGGACCAGTTGGAGGTTAGGTAAATCCAGATAGTCGGCATCTTCGGTAGAAAATGATGCACAGACAGTAAAGGGGGATTGAGAGGCAATCAAATCCATTCCTTTGCCTGACAGCAGCATCAGACGTTCTTAAACCATTCCTGACAGATGCTTGCCCATTCACATCATGAAATATTTAGTTGATGGAGCTTCCACAACTCTCCCCTTCCAGTGCTTAACTAACCATATAGTGTGGGGGTTTTTTTGTGGGTTTTTTTTTGGGGGGGTTGGGTTTTTTTGTGTGTGTGTGTGGTTTTTTGGTTTTGGTTTTGTTTTTTTTTTTTCCTGAAGGCTAACTAAAATCTTCCTTGCTGAAATTTAAGGCCATTATTTCCTGGCCTATTGCTTGTGAATAGGCATAATAGTTTGTTAACTTCCAATTTTTCAGTTGCAGTGTAGTAACTCTGCATGGCAGTTTTACTGGTAAGACAACTTTTTTACCCCCTGAGATACTTGGAATTTTCATAACATTTATTCTTAAATCTAGTGTGACTTCACTTTTGAACTGGAAAAAGAGAGCTGTCAGAGGTTCAGGGAAGAGGACTAATGGATTCATTATCACAACTGATTTATGTAGAAAGCTTCACATGTTTCGTCCACTGGTAACAAAACAAAGCTGAACATGTGTAAAAACACACTGACAATCCGTACACCCTGAGCCTGGAGGCTGAAGAGAAAATTCCAGGACTGACAAAAGGATTGTCACGGGTTTTGTTAGACTACGTGCTCTCAAAGGTGATGTGCTGTGTGTGGCACACAATCCAAACTATTCAGGAACGCTAAATGTGGCGTCAAGGTATTTGCAAAACGAGCAGCGTGGAACAATGTTGAACCAAGCAGAAGGACTATTGTCACAATCTGAAGAGCAAAAATCCTGTTTCATGATGTTTTGAAGTCTTTGAAGATCCAGTGTTTGTTTTCATTCTACCAAAGCATAATCTGGTAA